GATTGTAAAAAAAAAGTTCGGCAGTACTTATGTGCGACAGAGCTTACTATAACTTGTGAAAATCTTACAAAAAACGGGCAGCACTTCCGTGCTACAAAGCTCTTATTAGACCTTATTGTGAAAATCGCTTATTGATAGGAAACTTTGGTAATCCCCTTTTTATATTCAACCGCCTCACTTAAGAGGACTTAGGTATTTTTTTTTATATATTCAACTGCCTCACTTAAGAGGACTTAGGTATTCTTTTTTTTTATATTCAACTGCCTCACTTAAGAGGACTTAGGTATCCTTTCTTTTTATATTCAACTGCCTCACTTAAGAGGACTTAGGTATCCTTTTTTTTTATATTCAACTGCCTCACTTAAGAGGACTTAGGTATTGTTTTTTTTTATATTCAACTGCCACACTTAAGAGGACTTAGGTATCCTTTCTTTTTATATTCAACTGCCTCACTTAAGAGGACTTAGGTATCCTTTTTTTTATATTCAACTGCCTCACTTAAGAGGACTTAGGTATCCTTTTTTTTATATATATTCAACTGCCTCACTTAAGAGGACTTAGGTATCCTTTCTTTTTATATTCAACTGCCTCACTTAAGAGGACTTAGGTAAAACGACACAAAATTTAAAGACTAAATAATTTATTTATTAATAATAATTTTCTTACAACTATTTTCAAGTACAAATTAGTATAGATCGGGCAAAAAGAAATATAATAATTTCCAATTTTTTAAAGCACAATAATATATTAAAATATAAAATAAAAATACGCGTGTGTCTTTTAAACCAAAAAATTAAAAAAATAATAAATTTTTTCTTTTTTATGTCTTTTATATCTTGCGCATTTTGTAAAATAAATAAATATTTATTAATAATCTATATTTTTGATAATCATGACTTGACAAAATAACCCAAATAAAAAAATTACAATGATTACGCAAAACTAAAGGTTATCTGACATTGAATACGCAAAATTCAAAAAAAAGAATACATATATATAACACGCCCCCACTAATCGAAAACCAAACGTCGCAACTTCAACCTCATTCCCGAAATAATTATTGTCCTTACATGGTATTTTTACGAATTCGAACGGTAGTTAGCTCCACGAGTATCCTCCCTTTGTTCGCTGATAATTTCTGATCCAATTTTTATTATTATTATTATCTATCGCATTTTGAGTTAAAGCATATCCATATTCAATCTTTGCTCTAGTTGCCCCCACCCCCCAGATTTTCATCGGATATACGAAGCAGAATTTCCGATCAATTAATTCTTCCCATTCATACACCTGATCGTAATTTCCCAGGTTCTACACCCCTTTTCAATTGATCCCGATGCCTTATTCCTTCTCTTCCGTTGGCAAACTTTACTCGATTTAATTTGTGTCCAATGTTTTCCATGATCACCCCAGATTCCCACTTTCTTGTACCGCCATATATTCTAGCCCACACGGTCTGTCCCGCTACAAATTCCGCTGTCTCATTTATCTCCCCTTCCACTTCTTGACTTGGTTTCTGCTTTAACAAATCCAATAATATCCGAGTTCGCCTCCCTAAATAAAAACTTCTCTGCCGGAGATTGTTCTTCTCCCTTTCGACTGTTGTTGTAATATGCTACTGCTATCCAAATTTCCCCTCCTCCATATTTTGATTTTCGTAACCAGTTTTTGACAACCGCCACCATCCTCTCCGCCTGACCATTCGAACTTGGGTGGTACGGCGGCGCCAAAATGTGTCTCGCCCCGGTTTGAACACAAAACAACCTGAACTGTCCACTTATAAAGGCTGTACCTCCATCCGATACTATTATCTTCGCCACTCCGAACCGACCCCAAAGATTTTTTAACGTCTTTATCACCACCTGAGTTGTTAATCTCATCACTTCTTCGTACTCTACCCATTTGGAATATGCATCCACCACGAGTATATACATTTTGGCTTCAAAGTCAAAGAAATCAACATGTATGCGCTCCCATGGCTGTGTAGCTCGGCCATGCAATTTTCTTGTCTTTATGCGGCATACTCGCCCATGCATTACACATCAAACAACTCCGGATCATATCTTCAATCTCTTTATTCATCCCAGGCCACCACACATATTCACGACCCCACTGCTTCATCTTTTCAATTCCTTGATGTCCCGCATGAATCATGGCCTTTACCTCCTCCCTTGACTCCTCTATTTCCTCGTACCACCCACTCGTCTACTATCGCCAACTCTTTCTCTACATGTTTATATTTTTTATCTCCATCCCGCCACTGCTTTCGACCCTGTATATACGCTTTAATCCGCGTCAACTCGCGATCTTTTAACGTGGCCTTTCTGAGTTGTTCCCATGTAACCGGTCCCCCTTTAGATATTCCTACTATCGTCCTAATTAGTCCGTGTTCATCCTCTTCCTCCATATCTTTAGACCCACTCTCTTCACAATCTTCTCCCGCTCCACACCTAGAAAGAATATCCGGTAAGTAATTCTCTTTTCCTCGCCGATATCTCAACTGGACATCAAAACTGCCTACCATTAATAGCCATCTCTGCAGTCTAGGCGATAGCATCAGCTCCTTGTTATCCTTCCGAAACAGATGCACCAGCGGTTTGTGATCCGTGTATACTATAAATCTGCGCCCTATTAAATATTCTCGGCATTTTGTGAGTCCAAAAATGACGGCTAATGCTTCTTTTTCAATAACCGAATATCTGGTCTCCGCCGCTCTAAAAATTCTCGAGAAAAATAACACAGATCTCTCCAGGCCGTCTACGAAATGCAATAACGCTCCTCCTACACCTCTATTGGACGCGTCTACGGCTAACATCACCTCCAGATCATTGTTGAAACATATTAAAACTGGCTCTCTCCCGATCCTAGATTTTAACTCCTCAAACGCCTCCTCCTGTTCATTCTTCCAATCAAATCTTTCTCCTTTCTTTAACAATTTATACAACGGCGCCGCTATTTGTGCGAAACCCTCAACAAATCGGTGATAATAATTTACCATTCCAAGAAAAGCCTGCACCTCCCCTTTATTACTTGACCTTGGCATACTCGTAATCCCAGTCATGTTTTTATCCAATGGTCTCACCTCCATTCCCGTGATTTTATGCCCCAGATATATGACTTCCGACATGCCTAAGACACTCTTTTCAGCGCTTGCCCGCAACCCCTTCTCTTTAATTCTTCTAAAGACCTCCTCCAACCTATTTTCATGTTGTTCAGGAGTTTTTCCCGTCACCAATACATCATCCATATAATAGAAAACCCCTTCTAAGCCCTGGAACACTGCTGCCATCGTCCGTTGAAAAATTGGTGCCGAAACGCTTAGTCCAAAAGGTAACCTACAAAAGGCGTATAATCCCCTCGGCGTAGTAATAGTCAATAGATTCTGCACCTCTGGTCTCACCCGCAATTGTAAATAGGCTTTCGAAAAATCCACCTTTGAAAAATATACGCTTCCCTTTAGACTGGCCAATATCTCTTCAATACGTGGCAAAGGATATTTCACTTCCACAACCCACGGGTTTAGCGTGACCCGGAAATCCGCGCACAAACGGAGCTTCCCGTTGGCCTTCTTCACCGGCACCAACGGTGTTGCCCACTCACTATATTCCACGGGACACACAATCCCTTTCTTTACCCACTGATCCAATTCTATTTCCACTTCTCTTCGCCATTCGAATGGTACTCGTCGCAATCCACAAAATTTCGGCACACAGCCCTCCTTCATTTTAATATTAACTTCATAGTCTCTCAAACATCCCAATTCTTCATCAAAAATTTCTTGATAATTATCCACCAATTTACGTACTCCCTCTTGCACTTTGCCCATTCCTAATTCCATCTCTTTATTCCGTCATTCCGCGTCGCTATCCAGATTCATTTCCGTCTCCACTCCTCGAATATCCGCGTTTCCTCCACCTTTACATTGTATTTCCTCAATCTCCACTGTCCACTCCTCTGGCAACCTTATTTCCTTTAAAAAATTCACATCGTAATCTCTCCTAACATTTTTCCCTACTTTCCTCCTAACCGTTCCCTTCTCTTTCTTAATACTAGCCAATGAGTTCCCCCGTTTACTCGCCAATGAGTCCCCCCGTTTACTCCCCAACGAGTCCCCCCGTTTACTCCCCAATGAGTCCCCCCGATTTACTCCCAATAAGCCCCCCGATTACTCCCCAATGAGTCCCCCCGATTACTCCCCAATGAGTCCCCCCCCCCCGATTACTCCCCAATGAGTCCCCTCGATTACTCCCCAATGAGTCCCCCCGATTACTTCCCCATATTTCTCTCATAGATTCATTTTCCCCTATTTTCCTTTTAGAAACATGCGTCCCTATATCTCCCTTAGAATTCACTTCTCTTATTCTCTCATCTCCTACGAATATTCTCGTCTCATTCGCAGCTTCTTCCCTTAGCTCTATGATATTTCCCCGCTCTCTCCCATCCCTATTCCTACTAAACGCTGCCTCGAATTCCGATAACGCTTCTCCGTATACCTCTGATACGTTACCATACACATCTTGTCTAGTCAAGGGTACAAACACTCCCCACCATGCAAATACTCCCCAAAAACTATACCATGGCCCTATTCGGGTGATCCAGTCCCAACCCATCACCGCCTCAACCCCCCGATTTATAATCCATAAATCTATTATCTCCACTCTTTCTCCCAATGTCGCTTCTATTTCAACTCTCCCCATTACAGACACTGGTGACCCGTCGAATTGCCGTATTCTCAATCTTTCATTTACGATCATCTCATCAGGCCAATTACTTCTATATTTATCGTATCCAATGACCGAAATAGCCGCTCCCATGTCAAATAACATTGGTACCAGGCTCCCATTAAAATTTATCATTACTCTAGGACAAGGATCATGAACCATATTCTCTTGTATCATATTTATATATCCCTTTAATTTTATTTTTCCATGAGATGACCCTTTGCGTATCTCCTCTAACCTCCTCGGCCTGACCCGTGTATTTTTATTGCCATCATATAGTCACAAATTTCCGCATTCTCTCGCCACATGTCCCATTTTCCGGCATCTAAAGCACTCCATTTTCTGCTCTTTGGTTTCTTCTATTTTAGGCACCATAATCTTTGCAATTTTCTCACTCCCAATAGTCCGCACGTTTGTAGTATTTTGACCCATTCCTCTCGGTGTAAAACCCCCTTTTGTGTCAAAATTTCCAGTATTACACTCTTCTTTATTGTGTCCAAATCTTCCGCAACCAGCGCAACGCAATTTCTCTCGTTTTCCCGGACAATACGGGGCTATATGTCCAAATTTTCCACATTCAAAACATTTACTTTCCCGACAATCTCTCACCATATGACCCTGTCTCCCACAATTATAACAACTCAAATTCATATTTTCTCTTCCTCGTGAATCAAACCCCGATCTCATTTCCATTCGTCTCCCTTGTGAATTCTCTCTTGATCCTTTATATGGATCCAATATTTGATTGTATCCATATCCTCTGTACCGAATTCCACTCTCAGGGTTATTTACCCTTTCATTTCTATTTACTCCTTCGACTTCACTATCAGTCCATCCTTTGATTAATTCCTGCAGTGGTAACCATGTAACTCGGCCCATCATATCTTCCTCTCCATTGTGTCCTTCAATTGTCAAAGTTTGTCCCTTTATCCTCACACTTCGGCTTTTCCTAATCCTTCTTCCCAGGATTAAACTACACATCCATATTATTAACACAATCAACGCTCCGAAAATAATATATTGTATTTCCCAATATTTCACAAATTTTAAACTCTTCATTACTATTCTAAAAAAGTTTATAATCAACTTCAAAATAAATATTTTGGTTATTTGCAACGTTAGTAGATAAGATAATATTAATAGTGTAAATAGTCCGATGATGCACATATACATTCACCAACTTTTCAAATTTTGATAATTCCCGATACAATCCGAAATAAATTTTTAGGCGTTTAGATATATGATCCCCGTATACCTTTTTATATATAAAATAATTATTGACGCTTTCTATTCCCGTACACAACGTCTTGGCCACCACTGTAAAAAAAAAGTTCGGCAGTACTTATGTGCGACAGAGCTTACTATAACTTGTGAAAATCTCACAAAAAGTGCTACAAAGCTCTTATTAGACCTTATTGTGAAAATCGCTTATTGATAGGAAACTTTGGTAATCCCCTTTTTATATTCAACCGCCTCACTTAAGAGGACTTAGGTATTTTTTTTTATATATTCAACTGCCTCACTTAAGAGGACTTAGGTATTCTTTTTTTTTTATATTCAACTGCCTCACTTAAGAGGACTTAGGTATCCTTTCTTTTTATATTCAACTGCCTCACTTAAGAGGACTTAGGTATCCTTTCTTTTTATATTCAACTGCCTCACTTAAGAGGGCTTAGGTATCCTTTTTTTTTATATTCAACTGCCTCACTTAAGAGGACTTAGGTATTCTTTTTTTTTTATATTCAACTGCCTCACTTAAGAGGACTTAGGTATCCTTTCTTTTTATATTCAACTGCCTCACTTAAGAGGACTTAGGTATCCTTTTTTTTATATTCAACTGCCTCACTTAAGAGGACTTAGGTAAAATGACACAAAATTTAAAGACTAAATAATTTATTTATTAATAATAATTTTCTTACAACTATTTTCAAGTACAAATTAGTATAGATCGGGCAAAAAGAAATATAATAATTTCCAATTTTTTAAAGCACAATAATATATTAAAATATAAAATAAAAATACGCGTGTGTCTTTTAAACCAAAAAATAAAAAAAATAATAAATTTTTCCTTTTTTATGTCTTTTATATCTTACGCATTTTGTAAAATAAATAAATATTTATTAATAATCTATATTTTTGATAATCATGACTTGACAAAATAACCCAAATAAAAAAATTACAATGATTACGCAAAACTAAAGGTTATCTGACATTGAATACGCAATTCAAAATAAAGAATACATATATATAACAAGGATATTATATTTTCTTTTAATATAAATAAATACAACATATTTTATAACACAATATATTGGCTATGTTTATAATTAATAGTTTTATTAAGTGAATAGAAAAATTATTTACTTAGTAAAAAAAATATTTTATAAATATATAAATTTTAAAATATAAAATTCTTGAACTGAAAAATAATAGCCAAATTTCAAATAATCACATTAAAAATAAATAAATTCTAAAAGATATTAACTATTTTATATCTATGCATATAATTCTCTCCGTTTTATGAAATTTCCAGGTTTACCCAGGTATGCCAATTTTCCCTCTGATTTTTCTTTTCCATTTTTGGCGGTCCTGAGCATCAATATTTGTAAGATTCATGCTTCTCATATCTGCCGCTATCACATATGTTCACGTCATCTTGGGCCTTCCTCTAGGTCTCGATCCTCCTACTTCCATCAAGATGCATCTCTTTTCCCAATAATCTTTTGTCATACGTTCCACTTGCCCAAACTATCTTAGTCTATTTCGTCGCATTAACACTCCAATCATTTCTATACCCAATCTTGTTCGCAATTCCTTGCTAGTTTTTCTCTCTCTCAGAGATACTCCACACATCCATCTAATCATCCTCATCTCTGTTCTTTCTAATTTGACTTCGTGAGTCGCTTTCATTGCCCATATTTTGCCACCATAAACTAAACAACTCCTCACACAGCTTACGTAAACTTTCCCCTTTAACTTCAGAGAGATTTTTATTTGTTAGAATAGACGACATCTCTCTAAACTTCTTCCAAGCTTGTCTGACCCTTTCAACAACGGCAGAATCTTCATCACCATCTGCGTTTAGCATATCACCCAAATAACAAAACTTATCCACTTTTCCTACCTATTGCCAATATCTATACCACAATTTTCTACTTTATCATTATTATGTACCCCTTTTATGCACGTTCTACAAATAAAGGTCCTTCTTGCTAACATCTCAATTACTTTTTTCCCGCTACATCTATTATATACATATATAATATTTAATGATATATTTATTTTATGCATCCATTATAAATCATAATAATTTTATAAGCCTATGAAATACAATAATCTAAAATAAATTATTAACAGGATACTTAAAGATATATTATATAAAATAATATAATCAAGTATCTCTAATTAGATCTTGAAGATTTTGAAACTGATATACTTTTTAGACACTTTTACATTTGGTAAGGATTGAATTAGTATATAGTATATACAGAGTTGGGCAGTACCGTGAATACTTGTATCTAAGATACAAGATTCTTTTGTATATTGTACTCAGTATCTTTTTGATATTTCGATACTAGTATCTGTATCTAAGATCTTTTATTCTGAAAAGAATCTTGAATCTTTTACATTTTTATTTTCTTGACAACAGATACAGATTCTTTTTAATATTCATGTTTAAAATTTTACATATCACAGTATATATTTTAATTTCTTCGAGAATCTTGTATTAATTTCCTTATTTTATTCCGCCATAGTTTTATATATTGACAGCCAAAATTACCTGCAAAATTTACCACTCATATTAAGGTAGAAAGATAATAAAATAACACCAAAACGAAATAAGTGTATATTATATGTTATATATAAATGTAACTCGATAGAATATCATTACCAATTTTATGTAATATTTTTAATTTGTAGGATGATTAACGCTCATTATAGGGAAATTTAATTTATAGAAATAAGTTCCCCTGAATCATATCCCAGTCTTAAAATTTTATGTAAATTTTTTTAAAATAAAAGTTAAAAAAGACAATTTACATACAGGCTAGATGTAAAACCTGTATAAACAAAAATATGATAAAGGGTTAAACCTAATTTTGTTAAACATTATAAAGTATATTATTTATGTGTAGTTAAAAGGGGCATAGGTTATCTTAAAAATTCAAGTTTACAATATTGTCTACCTTTATTAAAAACTGCCCAAGATGGTATAGGCAAAAGATTTTAAGAAAATATTTTCCTATGATTTGATAATGTGGCTTTTTTGACATCAATATAACATCCATATTTTAAAAACTTATGGATTAAGTTGGATAATAATAAAAGAATCCCTAAATGTAGTACTAGAGTGTATAATCAAGTTCAAACTATAAAACCAAATAGATTAACATCTAATATAGAAAATGGTGATTATTTTTCTTTTGGTAAAACAAATGGTGCTGAGTTCAATAATACAAATAACATTGAGCAAGAGGTTTTAAATTGTATTAAGTCGAAATATATTATAAATGCTTAATTATCCTTCCATTAAGGAAATTTTTTATACATATAATACTGCAATACCTTTATCAGCTCCAATTAAGGTTATTTAGTTTTGGTACAATGTTAAGTACGCCGAAATGGCAAAGGTCTAATGATAAATTATTTCAAAGATTTGATTCTTATATTGAATGTATTTTAAATATTCTGCAAATTAATATTTCAACTCCCAAAAAAAATACTAGTCTCCTTTCTCATTCTATTCTAAGGATGGGCTAATACTACTAATATTATTAAAATGCCTAATTATTATAATTAACTCATTATTAAATGTTTTATTATTAATTATTGTAAATATTCATTCTTATTATATGTGTATGTTATGTTCTTCACAAATAAATGGTAAAAACTGTATTTTTTAAGCTATTCTAATTTAATTGGTAATGATAATTTAAAAATATCTTGTATTTAAGATACTCTAATTAAGTAAAAGATACAAGTATCTTTTATCTTGTATCTTTTTGATATTTTGTATAAGATACTAGTATCTGTATCTACGATTCATTTTTTCACAAAGAATCTGTATCTGTATCTAGATTTCTTTTCAAGAAGGCCTGCCCAACTCTGAGTATATATGATGTTACTGTAAAGCATTTATTAGTGCTGTTAATCAACTTCGACTTAGCCGAAAACTGACTCGAGTTTTGAACTAATTTCCTAAACTGGTATTATGAACGAGGACGAATATTTTATAATTACCTTAAATTAAAAAATAATTTTTATTTTCGTTTTTTGAGAAATAAAATTAAGAATCTGGGAAGACTCGCCTAACTAATTTTTTGGATAAGAACCCGAGTTTTCTTATGTGATAAAAAAAATTTGAAAATGTTTTATTAAAACCTTATATATTTTGTATATAAATTATTAAAATCTAAAAATCATGATTTTAATTTTATGTATATAAGATGTCATATCAGTTCAATATTTTAGAGTAATTTTAAAAACGGACAACTCAGTATTTTATCCAGTAAAATATTACGCATGTCTGAAGATTTTGCTCATAGATGGCAAATAAAGGTTGGACTATTTTTTGGCTCATATATAGTTAACCATTTTTAAAAATCAGCTCGAAGGAATATTTTGCATAACTAGTTGTATCTATATTTAAATCCACTTTTAGACAATGTACTGGATCCTTTTTAAAGGTATCTTGACAACTCTGCTAATCAGCAAGGACAGGTTAGCATAAAAAGGTGTCTTTTAAAGATCTGTAAAACATCACCCCGTCCGGTCTATTTTTTATATAATTTCGCTTCGGACTGGGTTGGGTTTAATATTTTTAGGAGTTTCGGGCCCTGCCTAAATTTTTAAATATATCATTACTTTTAAATTAATATATTTTTTAATTTTTGCAAGAATTTGGCAAAACGCAAAATAATCGGTATTCACTATATTGCTCATTTTTTTAAGAATAAATTATTATATATTTAGTATAATAT